TTTCATCAGATGGGGCCCCGAATGGCCTAGGTTAGGCTAGGTTAGGCTAGTTTTTTGCAACCCAGGCTCGGGAAGCCCCCCCTGCAGTTTCGAATTCGGCTTAACCTAACCTAACCTAACCTAACCCCAACATACCCAACCAACTTTTTTTATCAGATGGGCCCAGAATGGCCTAGGTTAGGCTAGGTTAGGCTAGTTTTGTGCAACCCAGGCTCGGGAAGCCCCTCCGTGCAGTTTCGAATTCGGCTTAACCTAACCTAACCTAACCTAACCCAACCATACCCAACCAACTTTTTTCATCAGATGGGCCCAGAATGGCCTAGGTTAGGCTAGGTTAGGCTAGTTTTGTGCAACCCAGGCTCGGGAAGCCCCTCCGTGCAGTTTCGAATTCGGCTTAACCTAACCTAACCTAACCTAACCCAACCATACCCAACCAACTTTTTTCATCAGATGGGCCCAGAATGGCCTAGGTTAGGCTAGGTTAGGCTAGTTTTGTGCAACCCAGGCTCGGGAAGCCCCTCCGTGCAGTTTCGAATTCGGCTTAACCTAACCTAACCTAACCCAACCATACCCAACCAACTTTTTTCATCAGATGGGCCCAGAATGGCCTAGGTTAGGCTAGGTTAGGCTAGTTTTGTGCAACCCAGGCTCGGGAAGCCCCTCCGTGCAGTTTCGAATTCGGCTTAACCTAACCAACCTAACCCAACCATACCACCAACTTTTTTCATCAATGGGCCCAGAATGGCCTAGGTTAGGCTAGGTTAGGCTAGTTTTGTGCAACCCAGGCTCGGGAAGCCCCTCCGTGCAGTTTCGAATTCGGCTTCCCCCCATTCCATTCCACTCCATTCCATTCCATTCCATTCCATTCCATTCCATTCCATTCCACTCCACTCCATTCCATTCCACTCCATTCCATTCCACTCCATTCCATTCCACTCCATTCCATTCCATTCCATTCCATTCCATTCCATTCCACTCCATTCCATTCCACTCCATTCCATTCCATTCCATTCCATTCCATTCCATTCCACTCCATTCCATTCCACTCCATTCCATTCCATTCCATTCCATTCCATTCCATTCCATTCCACTCCATTCCACTCCATTCCATTCCATTCCATTCCATTCCATTCCACTCCATTCTATTCCACTCCATTCCATTCCACTCCTTCCATTCCATTCCATTCCATTCCACTCCATTCCATTCCACTCCTTTCCATTCCACTCCATTCCATTCCATTCTAGTCCATTCCATTCCATTCCATTCCATTCCACTCCACTCCATCCATTCCATTCCATTCCATTCCATTCCACTCCATTCCATTCCACTCCATTCCATTCCACTCCATTCCATTCCATTCCATTCCATTCCATTCCATTCCACTCCATTCCGTTCCATTCCATTCCATTCCATTCCATTCCATTCCACTCCATTCCATTCCCTCCATTCATTCCATTCCATTCCATCCATTCCATTCCATTCCATTCCACTCCACTCCATTCCATTCCATTCCATTCCATTCCATTCCACGCATTCCATTCCACTCCATTCCATTCCATCCATTCCATTCCACTCCATTCCATTCCACTCTCCATTCCATTCCACTCCATTTCATTCCATTCCATTCCACTCCATCCATTCCATTCCATTCCATTCCATTCCATTCCATTCCATTCCACTCCATTCCATTCCATTCCATTCCATTCCACTCCATTCCATTCCACTCCATTCCATTCCACTCCATTCCATTCCATTCCATTCCATCCTTCCATTCCATTCCACCCATCCATTCCATCCATTCCATTCCACTCCATTCCATTCCATTCCATTCCATTCCCCATTCCATTCCATTCCCTCCCTCCATTCCATTCCACTCCATTCCATTCCATTCCATTCCATCCATTCCACTCCATTCCATTCCACCCATTCACTTCCATTCCATTCCTCCATTCACTCCTTCGATTGAGCCGACCTTCCACTTCCATTCCTTCCATTCATTCCACCACTCCATTCCTTCGCATTCCAGCTTCCATTCCATTCCATTCCATTGCCTGGAGCTTGGAGCCTGGAGCTTGGAGCCTGGAGCCTTGAGCTTGGAGCTTGGAGCTTGGAGCCTGGATTGGAGCTGGACTTGGAGCTTGGAGCTTTGGAGCCTGGAGCTGGAGCTTATTGATACCTGGAGCTTGGAGCCTGGAGCTTGGAGCCTGGAGCTTGGAGCTTGGAGCTTGGAGCTTAGCTTTCCGGAGTTGAACTAGTGACTTGGACCTTGAATTTATGACGTGAAGTGAATTAATATGATAAACGGCAAGGAGCTTGGAGCCTGGAGCTTGGAGCCTGGAGCTTGGAGCTTGGAGCTTGGAGCTTGGAGCTTGCAGCCTGGAGCTTGGACGGAGCTTGGAGCCTGGAGCTTGGAGCCTGGAGCTTGGAGCCTGGAGCTTGGAGCCTGGAGCTTGGAGCTTGGAGCTTGGAGCCTGGAGCTTGGAGCCTGGAGCTTGGAGCTTGGAGCTTGGAGCTTGGAGCCTGGAGCTTGGAGCCTGGAGCTTGGAGCCTGGAGCTTGGAGCTTGGAGCTTGGAGCCTGGAGCTTGGAGCCTGGAGTTTGGAGACTCCAGGGGAGACTCCAGGGGAGACTCCAGGGGAGACTCCAGGGGAGACTCCAGGGGAGACTCCAGGGGAGACTCCAGGGGAGACTCCAGGGGAGACTCCAGGGGAGACTCCAGGGGAGACTCCAGGGGAGACTCCGGGGGAGACTCCAGGGGAGACTCCAGGGGAGACTCCAGGGCCAGGGGAGACTCCAGGGGAGACTCCAGGGGAGACTCCAGGGGAGACTCCAGGGGAGACTCTAGGGGAGACTCCAGGGGAGACTCCAGGGGAGACTCCAGGGGAGACTCCAGGGGAGACTCCAGGGGAGACTCCAGGGGAGACTCCAGGGGAGACTCCAGGGGAGACTCCAGGGGAGACTCCAGGGGAGACTCCAGGGCCAGGGGAGACTCCAGGGGAGACTCCAGGGGAGACTCCAGGGGAGACTCCAGGGGAGACTCCAGGGCCAGGGGAGACTCCGGGGGAGACTCCAGGGGAGACTCCAGGGGAGACTCCAGGGGAGACTCCAGGGCCAGGGGAGACTCCAGGGGAGACTCCAGGGGAGACTCCAGGGGAGACTCCAGGGGAGACTCCAGGGGAGACTCCAGGGGAGACTCCAGGGGAGACTCCAGGGGAGACTCCAGGGGAGACTCCAGGGGAGACTCCAGGGGAGACTCCAAGGGAGACTCCAGGGGAGACTCCAGGGCCAGGGGAGACTGCCGCCGAGAAGTTGCCGCCGCTTCCGGCCGCGGGACGCCGGCATCAAAGCGCTGCAAACACTCACGCGTGGCCGGCCTTCGCTTTACCTTTCATTCGAAAATAAGAAAACGCCCTTCGCGCGCGGCATTGTTGTCGGTGAGGCTTTTCGGACGTGGAGTTCCGGATCCAGAAGTACAACTGCTTAAGGACGGTACGTGGGAGGCACCAGTCTCTCTCTCTCTCTCTCTCTCTCTCTCTTCTCTCTCTCTCTCTCTCTCTCTCTCTCTCTCTCTCTCTCTCTCTCTCTCTTTCTACAAGGAAACCTAACCTAACCTTCACGCATCTCATCACTCATCGACTCGCGTCCGCCTCCTGACCGTTTTTGATCCGCTTGTTCCTCAGACTTGCACCTGTCTCGACATTCAATAACTGAAATCGACACTCTGTTCACTTTTAATAAGCATACCGCTGTCTGAACCCGCACTTTCCCCCTTTCAAATTAAAAACGAGACTTTTTCTTCTCAACCGTAACTCGCACGACCTTACCGACCTGCTCAATCGATTCCCCGTCGAAAAACACCCGATATTCATGTGTCGCGCTCCTCCCTTCGTGCATTCGACTGATATCGCCTCCTTATGCGTGCCTACACTTGCATAACCTAAACTAACATAACATAACCTGACATCACACTCATCACCTTCCCTAACCTAACCTAACCTAACCTAACTATTTATGCGTGATATCAGATGAGAATTATGCTTGATGAGATTATACCTGATGGGACCTTATACCTGATGAAGACTGCATGAGTGAGTGTTGTGTTCAGTCATTGTTTTATTTTTTGCATTCAAGGTAGTTTAGGGCCAGACGTGATGTGGTATTTTTGTAAATAATTAACTAAAAACGCTGTATAAAGAGAAAATTTATTTCTTTCCCTCACTTGTTTCTTTTTTGTAGTATTTTTTCGAGTTTCTTTTTTACAAATTTGGAAAAGGTTTATTTCCCATCATTAGCTTTAACAATAACAACAATAAGTATAATGTTTTAGATGAAAATTCATTATACAAGTGACCATTACGTTCCGCACAGCCTTGGCACTGACACCCGCAAGGTATCTACTCGTTGAGTTTATACAACACTTTGGGTTCCGACTAGAAAAGAATGGAAGTGCAGAGCTCTATTTTTGCAGCTGTGGCCACATTTGCGGACCATTGCCAATAAATTTCCATTACTAAAAAGATGACACATTAAAGATTCCAAATTAAATATTCTTCACAAAAAGTTCCCAATCATAAAAGCTGAACTTCACCTACAAAGCAAACAAGAGACAAGATGTGTAATATCTTGTTGGAGATTAGATTGGATTTTAGAGGCTAACCCTGTTGGTTCTGAAGACATTACAAGATAATATTGATAATATAAATTGATATCAGTCTCTGTCCTTGGGAGTCCATAAATTAAGAAAGGGCTGGTACTGGGACTTTTTCCATCAGATGCCAAACTCTGTGAACTTCAATTTATACAACAAATTATTTCAGCCCTCTTTCTTCAGTTTCTAGCGTTATAAATGGATGCTTCACTCAAATCGAGAAGAAACTTGAGATATTTGACATAAGACAACGAGAGTCTATTGTAAATTTAAAGTATTTCAGTCAATCAACAATCTAACTTTAGATAAGTCGAAATGAAAGCATCACAACAGAGACCTTTGTTTCCTACATTATTACATAAATATCTGAAAAGTACACAAAAGAAGTGCATATACATGGTGGTAAGTCACAAAGAAATCAGCACCAATGATCATCTGGAGATTTTGAGATACATATCCTTCTAACAAGATGATCTGTCTTATGTTAAAGAGAAATAACAAGGACAGCATAGGTGTTGGATGACGTAAGGCATTAAATAGTATAAACCAGTGCAAGAAAAATGAAGATCCTTAAATATCTGTCCAGCATCAAGCAAAACAGAATTATTGCTGCTTTCAATGGGAATCCAAGTAAAGGAAAGAGAGTTTGATAAGTGAATTCAAATGGCTCTCAAAGTAAATTACATTACTAACACATATCGCTTTTGATACAGGTACATTGCTCCATCCACATACAGTAGAATGGAACGGCCTAACAGCTTTCTAGATTTGTTAGACTAATCACAGTCTTTACTCATTTAACAATTCCCCTTTTTTTAAACTCTAATAATACTGAATAACTTAAATCGGGTGGTTGAAGATAAATGTGATTAATTCAAGCAGAAAGGCATAATCACAGTCGAAGAAGGACTCTCACAAATTAATACTAAGCACCAGCAACAGAAAAGTACATGGTAAGCCTCAAAATATTAAAAGCAAAAGGCTTGACTTCAATCGACTCAATGTTAAAGTTAAATGAAATACTCCTTGAAATCAGTAAACATAAAATAATTTCATTTAAGAGTTAGTTCTTCCACTTGTGAGAACACTCGACCTCTTCCACTCTCACGCTAAATGACGACAAACATCCCACAAGGTAAAAAAGTAGAAAATCAGAGAATGAACATGGCATTTCTACATGTTAACTTGCAGTGACAATGGGGCTAAAATCTTAGAAAACAGGCATTATTTTCATCTGGGAATCAGGACATTTATATTGCTTTGGTTAAGCTTCTTTGGCGAGAAACCTATTACAGTAGAAGTATGACACGAATCGACTGACTGTGTTACCACCCTAACTTGAGAAGCACCTGTTTTTCATTTAAAATAAATTTACAATAACCTACAAAAGAAAACCAAATAAATAAAAATTAAATTAATGCAAATTCACACTAGAAACATTTCTATGCACATTGAGAAATGCAGAAGAGATAACAAACGTGCAGCTAGATGTCAGGAGGGAAATGATAGGAACCAGAACGAGGACTTAACTAACAACAGACCAAAGGCAAAACTTCTTAGACGAAAATGCCTGAGCCTGCAGAATAAACACGAGATGGTTAACTTAATTTGCAATGAATATTCTAACAAAGAAAGGGAATAAAACTGTCATAAACGATGACTAGGTGACTGAATGATACATTGCTCACAAGTTTTCAGGATAACACAATGAACTTGTCTAAAAGCATCAGTAGATTTAAATATTGTAAACATTTCATTTCTTTCGAAAAAATAAAATTTTTAGGACAGTGACAAAATATTTGAATGGTCTATGAATGCAAAGATACACTAAGTATAACTTTTTCCCAAAGCACTAGAATATTAAAAATTTCTTGCATATCTTCAGCAAACATTTAGTAACATTTAAATTAATTACTGTGTCTAATAAGTGCTGTTGCTGAAGTAATACCATTATAATCTGCATACTTAAGATAATTTCTAGTTTATAATCAAAATACATTTAGTTTTATACTTCTCGGATGTCTAAATAACTGCAAGGCATCAAATGCACTTCAAATTCTCAACAGGGAATGTACTACCCTGAAATAAACTTGGCAATGACTACTTAGTCCCCAGTTACCCTCATGAGTTCACACACTAAATCACAATGTATGAAACAAGTACTGCTACATACCTCAAAATAAAAATTCAATTTCACTTAGCACAACTATAATCTGTCAAATATCAAGTGTTCAGCCTTACAATTAAATACTTACACTGACAGATAAATACCTAAAATTAGTAGAAAGATTTCTAATAGAAGTCAATAAATACAGTACCTACAACGAAACAGTCCTTACAGGGAGTGAACTGGTACAAGTTTTGTGATGTTAAAAATTGATCATAATTAAGACAGTGCACCATGGCAAATTCGACAACTCCCAGTGATGTAGTGGAACAGTAACTGATAACCAAGTTTCTAACACACATCACTACTGAAACCCAACTGGCTTTCAAACAGCGAGGTTCGTCCGCTCTGACCAACGGGCAGAAACGCTCACCGACAGAAGCACGCGCATCCTCGACGTGTCTGCCCCACGAGGGGCGGAATCTCGACGTGACACAAGCGAGGGAACACAGCGACAACAATTGAAATAAGGTACATCAGAAGTATACACCGATTAGTCAATAAATACAACAGTCAGTGAGACGAGACACGAGCCACTCAGGTGACGTTGTTATTGTGGTCCACGATCAGCCAGTACTGGCGGTTGTGGCCCGGCTGGTGGCTGTGCTGGTGGCCGTGCTGGGCCCCTGAGGCCCCTGCCAGGCCCGCGCACCGCGAGGGCGGGGCCGCGTTGTGGTGTCAGAAGGAGGCGCAGGGCGGCCCCGTCGTGTCCGGCGACAGCAGCGGCGCCCCCGAACCCCGGAACGACGCGCAGGGGCTGCTCGGGGTGCTGCTGCTGCGACTGCCGCCACCGCTGCTCGTCGTGCTCAAGTTACTCGAGCTGCTCAGGTTGTTGTTGTTGTTGCTGCCCGACACACTGCTGCTCGCGTTATTGTTGTTGTTGTTGTGAAAGGCCGGCGACTGCACCACGTAGTGGGTGAGCCGCGTGGGCAGACAGCCCGCGTTGAGCTGGTAGAACTCGACCAGTTGGAGGACGTCGTAGAACTTGGTGACGCCGGAGTCCAGCGAGTAGCAGATGGCGTCGCGGACGGGGTCCACCACCTGGACGGCAACAGGAGGAACGGTAAATCAAGTCCAACAACCATCGTGTAGGAAAAACTCGCAAGACTCTAAATGTCTTACGAAGAAATTTCTAGACTGTACTCACCGGTTGAATTTGCGTGTGCAGGACTTTGCCGGCGCACTTGAAGGTAAGGACGAAGGCGCTCGGCGTGCTCCGGCTGTCGCGGACCAGGAACACGCTGCAACAAGAGGAGAAACACGTCACGCACTGCGAGACTCCGCTCCCAGCGCGGGGAGTATCGCCGCCATCGCGGCAGCCGGTCTTCCCCGCCGGCCGCTGTCGCTGCTCGCGCGGGGTATCGCCGCCCGGAGGCGGTCGAGATCCCGGACGCGTTTTGAGCTCCAGAGTCGTTAGATGGGCTCGAACCGAGCGTTTGACCCCACCAATGAATTTCTCGTTTGGGGAGCAATCCATAGGTGGCGTCATTGGCTGAGCGATAGCGAAGCCCTTGCCGTGTTTGGGCGCTCCGAAAAGTGACTGGTCGTGCGTCTGTCTGTCTGTCTGTCTCTCTGTATGTAATCACTCACGTTTCTCAGCAACTACTGAACGAATAGTATCCAAATTTCACACCTGATGTCACCTAAACATCCTACAGGGGGAGTTTATCTCAGATTAACAATTATCATCGTTTGAAATATTCAAAACATCATTTTGAACTAGGTAATTAGCGTGTTTAGGTTGGTAGCAGCGTGTCGCTTACCAATTTCTCATACCGGCTGCCGCGCTTGCAAGCCGTCTGCAAGACGGGACGGCACTTATGCAAATAAACAAACTAAAGAGCAAAGGGGTTCTCAAATAGGTACTGAGATAGTTTTTTAACATTCTAGAATGATTGAAACCCTTCCGGAGTGTCAACAGAGGAAAATACGGAAACTAAATGTGAGAATGGTTTACGTGTTTCGTTCCCCTCTTCCCCCGTCACAGGGGAACAGGTCAGTGCATTGAGTGTAGTTGTGGATTGTAAATACAATGTTTTCTTTGCCTTTGTGTGCATCTACTGATTTTATTCTCTCTGATACTATCCTAATTTTTAAATTTCATAGTAAATCAAATCAGGTAAATGCATGAATAACTTCTGTTGAAATTAGAAGACATGTTAATTGTCTTGGTTTGTCTCGGGGAAATGACACTCTATTGCAATGCTGCAAGCTAACATCAATATTCTAGTACTTACATCTATTGATTAAAAGAATCCATAAATAGATGTATTTTGTGCAATAAATAATCCATATATTTAGTGCTAACAGATTTTGAACTGATATTGGGTTCAATCAGACGATTCAGGTTTTGAGCGGTGGGTGACTTGGTAATTGCTTTTAATGGGACGATTCCTTTCACTTCACCAAAGCTTGTGTCCGACAACTGGAACCAAGTATTGATAATGATTTAAAAGCTGGCTTTCTGAATGTAAGCCCAATGTTAAGACTATACTGTATTCTTTTACTCTAAAGATAAAATATCACGAGGCATGAATAAGGTAAATTAAGTTGGCGTATTAAGCAACAAGTGGCCTCTGCATTTGACTTCATGAGACGATTCACTGAATTTGACAAAACTTGTTCTCCGTCGAATGCTTCAGATCAGCCTGCCCTAAACTGAGTCACTTAATAAAAACTATGATTACATATTCCAGTCTATATTGTTTAATTCACTGGTTTTAAATGAAAGAATGACAAAAGGCTTCTCAAATATAACTAATAAATTTGTGAATTCATTAGTTTGAAGAAAAAGATGTATCGAATAGTGAGTCAAGCAGACGAGTAGCTAATTAAGCGATTCAATGCTGGCAATGGAATGTTACTCGACTGAAGGAATCGCATTGGTGTGGCATTTGAGTATTGGTGACGACAAAGGGTGATCCATGAAGACCAACCCAGACCCATTCTTTACCCATTATTGATCAATTTGATATCAATATTTTTCAATCGAATCTCATATTGATTCTTGGAGTTTTGGGAGTGCTGATTATGAAAACCACTTCCATCTCTACTCCAGACTTATATTTTCATCTCAAATTAGGTCATTTGGGACCAAAATTTTCAGGTCGAGTTTTATATTGTTTCCTGCAGTGTTTGATGAGCTGAACTCAAAAATAACTTCCAAATTTTTCCCAGACTCACGCCTTACCCAATTTTGACCAAATTTGGACCAAAATTTTTGAATTGAGTTTGATGTTGATCCCAACAGTTTTTTGTGTGCTGATGACGAAAATCTCCTCCATTTCGACTCCAGACTTATATTTTTATCCCAAATTAGGTCATTTTGGACCAAAATTTTCAAATCAAGTTTTTTTATTGTTTCCTGCAGTTTTTGATGCGCTGAGCTCAAAAATGACTTCCAAATTTTTCTCAGACTCACGCATTACCGAATTTTGACCAATTTTGGACCAAAATTTTGGAATCGAGTTTGACGTTGATCCCAACAGTTTTTTGTGTGCTGATAACAAAAATCACTCCCATTTATACCCCAGACCTACATTTCACTCAATATGAGCCCACAAGCTGCAGTCCGAAGTGCGCAAATTCGCATCGCTCAGCCACACTACGCGCCCACACAAAACGGCGCGTACCCCTAGTAATTAGCAGCTCTGGAGCTCAAAACCCGTCTCGGTTTTTGACTGCCTTCACCGGTTTTCTGGCCTCGCTTCACTGTGCTTCGGTTGGCCCGGCTCGCTTACCCGTCCACGGTGCCGTGTCTGCTGACGAGCTGGGCGGCCTGCTCCCGGGTCATGCCGGAGTGGAACCAGGGCTGCGTCGTGTGGATGCCCGACTCGAGCCCCAGCGCCACCCGCACGGTGCCCTCGGCCACGCCGGCGTGCCCCAGCACCTGGTTCCGCCGCCAGCGCCGCTTCCAGGAGTAGCCCTCGGCCGCTGCGATCGCCTTGGCCTCCTTGGGGTCCTCCACGATGCGGCCCACCGCGCCGGTGAAGTCCATGGCCACTCTGGACCGAACACTCTCCTGGAAAAAAGACAAACATCAAACATCACTGTAAAAAATTTCGTACCTTTGCACGCATATTATACAGAAGAATGAAGTACAGAAGTTCGTAAGAAAGTACGGAAAGTCCGTACTTGTTCCACATGAACCCATGTAAACGGGCGTGGAAAAAAAGAAGAGATGTACTTGGCAGGTACGCACGCACGGTTCTGACCGAGGGGGTCACACTCACGTAATAAATACCCTGTACACAAAAACAGTGTATTTCGCGTAATACACGTGATCGTAATACCCTTTTTGGGTCAAATGTGCCAAATTTTTGCATTTTAAGGGCGTAATACACGTGTAATACACCCATAAAAAAAGCATAATACCGGGCAGTCTTTACACGATTTCTTGAAGTGGTTACCCCCTCGGTTCTGGTTCTGACACATTATTGACCAGCGACCTTTTCTGTAATTTTGTTTCTCTGATTGAACTTCAAATCGTTTTCGTCAACATTTGTTTTTCTGGAAGGCAATTCTGTCGGGCTTGACTTACAATGGGCACGGTGTAGCTGTTGTAGTCCTTCGTATTGATGCTTTCCGCCTGCTTGTTCTTGAAGGAGCGGTAGTTCTCCCGGAGTTGGCGGCCATACTGCAAACATAAAATAATGTAACCTTTGGAAGAAACATACGCAATCGTTCACATTTACCAGTCATTTTAATTTTCTCAGTCTAGCCTTCCTTTCCGTTTGCCGGCGGGGCGTGACTGGGCAGGAGACTAACGCCGGCGGCCAAATCTCGCCAAAACTCGAAGCTCCAGAGTCGCTGAACGGGACATGAAACGAGCAAGTGACCCCACCAATGGATTCCTCGTTCGGAGAGCAATCAATTGATGGGGTCACAGGTTCGGTTCGAGTCCCATTTCGAGGGGTCCTATTCAAAAGATCTTATCTGGGCGTTCCCCCCAAGACAATCTTATCTTAAACGCCGGCAAATTTCACTCATTTTGATCAATCAGAATAAATACGACGGTAAGCGAAACATATTTCTACATGCACTTTTGGTTTCTTTGATCTCTCATCTTTAGATTTACTGTAACAAACTCACAAATTATATTGACATGTTGCTGTACCAAATGATCAAACTATGTGAAATTCACCTGCGTTTAAGATAAGATTGTCTTGGGGGGAACGCCCAGATAAGATCTTTTGAATAGGACCCCTCGATTTAGCGACTCTGGAGGTCAAAACGCGTCCGAGATTTTGGTCCGCCTCCTTTGGGCTTCCGGCCCACTGTTGGGGCGCACAGTGGGCCAGAAGACCGGTGGAGGCGGCTAAAACTCCAGACGCGTTTTGAGCTCCAGAGTCGCTGAATGGGACTCGAACTGAACGTGTGACCCCACCTACGGGTTCCTCGTTCAGAGTCCATTGGTGGGGTCACACGTTCAGTTCGAGACCCATTTAGCGACTCTGGAGGTCAAAACGCGTCCGGGATTTTTGTCCGCCTCCACCGGGCTTCCGGCCCACTGTTGGGGCGCGCAGCCTCAAGGCGCGGCTGAGCCTCACCTTGGCGAGCCTCATGGCGGTGAGCAGGCACGTGCGGACGTGCTCCGAGTCGCAGGCCAGGCACTTGGTGGCCGCGATGCCGGTGCCGGCCGGGCTGTGGTCGTTGTCGCGCTCGGCGTGCTGGGCCGTGGGGCGCAGGCACAGCCCCCACTCGGTGGGCGCGCGGAGCTGGTTGCGCGCGTTCAGGCACGAGTACACCGTGTAGTCCCGCAGGCTGCACAGCAGCTGGACGCCTCCGTGCGCGTCCACATCGCCCTGCAAACCAGAGAAGGGCACACTGTTAGCGACACAGAAACAACAAGCTCCAAAGCTTAGAACTACACTGAGATTCCAAACGCTGTGAGTATAGCACGTATGGTGCAATACAATGAGATATCGCACCATAAGTGCGATGCCATAGCCATATTGCACCTTACGTGCAATACATCTCGAAAATGTCCTATGCTTATGCATAGGAATGGGAAGGCATTGCACTTCATGTGTAGATGCAAAAGCATTGCACCAATTGACGCTATATTTGGCTGAGCGATAGCGAAGCCTGTTACTCCAGTGGGGTTGAAAAGTTTTGTCTGTCTGTCGGTCTGTCTGTCTGTCTGTCGGTCTGTCTGTCTGTCTGTCTGTCTGTCCGCACTACTCCTCCTGAACGGCTCGGCCGATCTCGGTGAGATTTTGCACACTTCTTAGGTATGTCCTTGGCTCGGCACACGCGAAATTTCACCATCCTAGCTCAACTGGTTCAGTTTTTATAGGCGAAAAACACCTAAAAAACGGCGAAAAATAGAGATTTCTGCAGATAGACCACTTCTGTCTTGGAGAAAGGGGGGTCTGGGGGGCAGAGCCCCCCAGCCTCGACAAGTTAAAAAGTGACAAGGGTCAAGATCGTGTTATCTGTAGATAAAACAACTCTATTTACAATGTAGGGGGGTCTGGGGGGCGGAGCCCCCCAGCATTCAACAAGTTAAAAAATAACCGACAACGGACAAGCCATTGCCTGCCGCAGGCAGGCTAGCGCCGCAGGCCAAGGTAGGTACGCCAGGCGTGGATTGGAGGAACAGGCAGCGAGACATCGCGAAGCCTGTTACGACAAGACGCGGTCTGGCGTAAACCTACCTTGTCATCAGTATACACAGAGAATGCACCGGAATGCACTGTGGGTCGAAATCCCGGACGCGTTTTGAGCTCCAGAGTCGCCGAATGGAACTCGAACCGAACGTGTGACCCCACCAACGGATTGCTCTCAGAACGAGGAATCCATTGATGGGGTCAACCCGAGGTCAACCACTCGGTTGGAGTCCCGTTCAGTGACTCCGAGCTCAAAACGCGTCTAGATTCTGACCACCTCCACCGGTCTTCTGGCCCACTGTGTCGGTGGTAAGGGTGCGGGGTCGCCTCGCAACTGACCCACTCAACACAAAGGGCGACCCACCGCGGCCCGCCACTGCGAAAAGGCCACGAAATGTACCGCCGAGTGTGAATCCACGGAACGGCACGGCGGCAAAACAAAGGCGATGACTCGGTGTCGTGTGGCGCGGCCAAGACCGGACTATCAATTCCGCCGTGCCGCCTTGCTTCTACCGCGCCGTGCCACGCCGTGCCACGCCGTGCCTCCGATTGAGACGTGAAGTGACTCAGCCAACGAGTCCCAACAGGTACTGCCGCGTGGTTGCCGACTGGTGGGGGACCGCGTGTGTGTGTGTGTGTGTGTGTGTGTGTGTGTGTGTGTGTGTGTGTGTGTGTGTGTGTGTGTGTGTGTGTGTGTGGCCTGCCACGGCGGGCCCAGCACTGCATCCACAAACGAGGGCGACCGGCTCGGAAAGCTCCATTGTTTGGAAGGGGTGCACTTGCAGTGCGGGGCGCGGCGGGCACGGCGCACGTCACCGCGGTCGAGGTGCAGCCTGTTTGGTTTACGACCCCGAAAATAGCCAACACATTTCCACCCCGCACCTACGCCCGGCGGGTCCTCGCCGGCAGCGCTTCCGCCTCCCTCGCACCCCTCCGGGGCGGCCCGTGAGTGCGAGGGAGACGACGACGGCGAACGAGTTTCGGAGTCGCACCCACTAAGCGGCGGCCGAGTGTACGCGCGGATGGGCCAGGACCACCTTGACGGTGGCGGGACGCGCGCCGCGGCGCAAATCACTCGAGGGCGTAAGTACCAACAAGAGGTTATTTGCACGTCGACGTACCACAGTGGGGCAGAAGACCGGTGGAGGCGGAATCCCGGATGCGTTTCTAGCTTCAGAGTCGCTACGCAGTTTTCGAACTGGACGTGTGACCCCACCAATGGATTGCTCTTCAAACGAGGAATCCATTGGTGAGGTCAAACGCTTGGTTCGTGTCCTGGTTAGTGACTCTGGAGCTCAAAATGCGTCCAGAGTTTTGGCCGCCGGCGGCGGTCTTCTGGCCCACTGTGTGTCGTCAACTCTCACGCACGCTTGCGCGCGTGCCGTGCGCGTGCCGTGCGTGCCGACGTGAGCATACGTGCGTGCGCGAGGCGTGATGCCGACAGCGCGCCTAACGGTCGCGCTTTCCCGCGCAAATTAGCATAGCGCCTTTGGAGGGCCCCGTCGGCCCCACCCCCGCGGCGTTACGTCAGTTAGACTGATTCCAGGAGTCGTTTTCGTTGCTCTGTCTCCTTCGCTCCTGCGTGGCGCCCGTGGGTGCGAGACAAAGTGACGAAAACGACTGTCGGGCTAAGTCTGCAGGGGCTTTGCGAGTTGGCCAGGCCGCCAGCCTGGAGCCTCCAGGGCGGCTAGCCGTGGCATGCAGTGGCTGAGTGCGTAAGCCATACAGAACTCATATCACGCGGCAACCCACACTATAAAATTTCGTTCACAGTTTTCCTGCACTGTAAAACTGAATTTCCGGAATTCACGAAGGTACACCCAGAAAGAATGTTGACGAAGGCACCCTCGTAAATAACATGAATGGTCTTGGTTATTTACGAAGATTCCCAACACTTAAAAGAAAATCTAAGAAAATCCGCGAATACATTCGTCGCAAAGTCACGAAGGTCCTTTGTAAACTCATAAAGATTTCTCCTAATTTACGATATCCTATGACAATTTGCAAATACACCTTATCCGACATTTTTGCCACAGGTGTCTTCGTCATTTCCCAACCTATTTATTACGGTGAACATATACACATACTGCTTGCAAGCCATCAGTAATTCCCATAAGACTCCTGTTTGGATGGCCATTGTGTGCACAAAGCGAGCACACTGTCCACCGGCACGCAAACGCGGCGCTTCCCAGCCCACTGGCGCGCGCCGCCCGGAGTTCAAGAACAGGCTGCTGCACTGTACTTTAGTACAGTGGCGCCCCAGGCAGTCCTCCCAGCGCACTGGACTCTGGAGAAAAGAGCGCGAATCGCCGGTGTGCTGCCAGCATGGCCGGTAGCGCGGCCGCACAGTGGGCCAGAAGACCGGTGGAGGCAGTCAAAATTCCGGACGCGTTTTGAGCTCCACAGTCACTAGATAGATCTCGACTCGAACGTGTGATCCCACCAATGGATTGCTCTCTGAACGAGGAGTCCATTGGTGGGGTCACAAGCTCGGTTCGAATCCTGTTCAGCGACTCTGGAGGTCGAAATGCGTTTAGAGTTTTACCCGCCGGCGCACCGGTCTTCTGGCCCTCTGTGGGCCGGCAGGCCGACAAACGTGGGCGAGTCGGGGGAAAAATTCCCCTCGCGGTTCAACAAAGACTCGGTCGTGAGGACGGTGCCGCGGGGGGCGGGGCAAAGCGCGGTGGGCCGGCTATGGGGGAGTCTCTGGTCGATGCTGGTGTCTGTCTGACCGCCCCGAACCGAACGGGGCGGCAAAGAGACACGTGGAAAAGCGACGCCTGCTAGAGGGCATCGCTCGTCGTGCCTCAAAGAAAACTCGAAACTCCTGAGTCAGGTCGAAGGGATCGCCACCATGTTCTAGTGAATTCACTAAATGTTTTGCACAATTTTGTACGAGACATCACAGTTTGTTGTGCACACGAAATTTTCGTACAATTTACGTACGAAAAATCTGCACAGTTTTCGCCATTTTTGTACAAAAGTGTACAAAATTTTGTACAAATTTGTACGAAAAGTTCGTGTGCACAAAAAACTGAGATGTCTCGTACAAAATTTGTACGAAAACATTTAGTGTGAACCTAATTCACGTATCTCGTATCTTCGTATCTTCAACAACTTTCGATAATTTTTAAGTACTTTCAAAAAAATTTCGAGAATCTTTGAAAACTTTGAAAACTTTCTCGGATTTTGTGAAATTTTACTCTCTGAGCGCGAACACACACACGCGCACGCATGCAATACCCCGGAGTGCCCCACTCCCGGTCCCCGCGCCCGCTCCGGCGGCCAGCGCTGCGACTCGCCATTTACAGACTACTTTTCTTTCTGCGAGATAGGTATAATTGGGGTCTCGACGGGGTTATCGTAAAATGTGGGCGCTCGCCGGTTCTGCTGGAGAGTGGAGGTGACGCCTGGCCCGGGGCGCGGCGTGGCGCGGCGTGGCGCGGGGCACCTTGGCCCGCCTCGGCCAGCCTTATTGGTGGCCGGACAGCGACTGATCGCTCGTCCGCTTGCAACTAAGTCTTCCAGCCGAAAGAAAATGAGCAAAACGCTCAAGTTATTTCCCGTCCCCTCCCCGCCTCGCCTCCCACCTGGAACTCAGCTCAGCCGCTTCACGGACCAAATCCCCCTGAGCGTCACCCCAAAGAACAGGGTTGGTCAAAATATTCTAATTTGGGTAGGAAAATTGCGGGCATCACTACAAATCCAAAGGTCAGACTTCTCGCCACTCCAGAGGCAAGACATAAAAGTCTCGCCAAGATTCGGTCAGACCTGAAAGTCTCGCCAAAATTTGGTCAGACAAAAAAGTCTCGCCACAAAACGGTCATACACAAAAGTCTGACCCCAAAATGGCGAGACTTTTGTGTCTGACCACCACCGAAAGGCCGTAATGCGCCGGACGGTTACGGCCTAAAGGCCGTGGTCAGACACAAAAGTCTCGCCATTTTGGGGTCAGACTTTTGTGTATGACCGTTTTGTGGCGAGACTTTTTTGTCTGACCAAATTTTGGCGAGACTTTCAGGTCTGACCAAATCTTGGCGAGACTTTAATGTCTCGCCATATTTTGGCGTAAAGTCTTTCCATCCAAATTGCAGTGATGGCAGTCCACGTTTAAATTACTCCACCCCGCGTTCAGGCACCTCAGGCGCGGATCCAGGGTTTTCCTAAGGGGGGGGGGGGGGGTAAGACAATGC